GAACTTTCAATTTAACGGTTAGATTTACAAAATTCGCATTTAATATAAAGTTATTGAGCGGTGTAATACTTAGTAAAAGTTACACCGGTGTAATTATAACCTCTCTATATATATATATTAAAAAATTTATTGATCTTTTTTAATATATGATTGTCAATTTTTGTAAAAAATTCTTACATTTTCGACAAATATAAATTTGTCAAAAATATTCCATCAATAATATAAAATTTCCTACAGTTCTTTTTTCATCGAAAATATAAATTTTCAGAAGGAGATATAAATTCGTCAGAAAATTCCAACGGAAATATCCGTCAGAAATTTTTCGACAGATTTATATCTGTCAGAAATTATCCATCAGAAATTTGCATTTTTCTAGTAGTGTGGGTAGAGCCATGCATGTGTCAGGATGTTGCAGTGATGAAAAAGCTTTTGGCCACAACTTTCCGTGTTTGTAGAGATATACTTGTCCTTTTCTAACACAAAACATGTTTTTCTTTCCTTGTTGTAGAACATTGATATCGAGGAAGTATTTGTAAAGTCGATTTGTTAAGGAAGAACATTCAAACATTGTCATTTTTTTTATTAGAGATTGTGAATGATACAGATTTAAATCATATTTCTTTTTATGACTAAGGGTTCATCTTATTCAATAACAAAATTATCTTAATGTAGCTTTCGTCTTATACCAGGATCTGTCTTATTGACCGATTGCGATTTAGAAAGTTTGTCTTAGTCATTTTGAAAACTTTATTTTGTTGAAAAGACTTTCTTTGTTTGTTAATATCAAAACTTAAAACCAGAAGGATCTAATATTGTTTTTTGACCTAAAATTCTCCTCTTTCTTGATGTGACAAATGTTTATTTTTGAATTAAAGTTTTTGTTAGAAAAATTATGTGAGACTAAACTTTTTCATTCCAAAAAGACATTTGTGATAAAATGAGGTAGTTTCTTTTTACTAAAGACCTTAACAACTTTTATAAGTGACGAGCTTGTTTTTATGAAAACAGTTTTGACATCAAAAGTATATTAGAGCAAGATTGTTAGAGATTTCAAAATCAAAGTTGTACTTAGAAAAAATATATATATAATGCAGTATTGTAGGAAATGTATCTCAGAACAAATCATAGAGTAAAAGAAAAAAAAATATGTTAGAGTTATATTAGAGCATCTATATCAACATATTCTATCAAATACTTTAGAGCATTCATAACTATCAAAGCAAAAATGTAAGATACTTTAGTGAAACCAGAGTATTCCCCTAAGAATATGCATAACGCAAAACTTGTTTGTCAAAGAAATTATATTCAGAGTATAAAAGTATGAATTATGCATAGTAAAATATAGTCACTACCAAAAAAATGAATAATTGTTCAAAAACTAGAAGATAGATTTTCAAAAACTATATAAAATATCTACTCCCCTTTTGGCACCAACAAAAGCTAGGTTAAGGACTATTCGTCATCATCTAAGTTAATTTCCATATTGAGTATGGTAAGCAACTTCTAGAACTTGCATTCAAAATGTGCCTATTGACAGAATGATGCGCACAAATAGGATTGAGATAATGAGAACCTTTAGGGAAATCAATGAGTGATAAAGCATGCTCACAATCCTATTGCAACGCTTCAGGTTCAAGAGTAGTAGGATTGAGATAAGGGACCCTTCATGAAAATCATAAAAGAAAATAATATCTAGAAGTAAGTGAATAAAAAATTAAAAATTGAAAGGGGTGTCATAATGAAATTTGTGACAAGGTTTGTAGAAGGTTTTGTTGTTAGAGGATTGAATGGCTGGAGGAGATGGAGTCTACTAAAGAGAGCTTCCCACAACATACAAGGGATAGTCTTTATCAGTTCTAGAGACCCTTAATTGATGATGTAGAGAAAACTGCATGTGCTTTGCATTTTGAAGGTAGGAAACCATCTTCTCTTTC